CTAACACTGCCACTTTTTGTCAGAAGAACTGGGGTCAGAAAAAAACCCCAAACAATCCTTTTTTAACTTATTGCTACTTTCATGTTTGCTGAATTCAAGTCAGAGCTTGAAAGTATTCCTGTTTAGCAAGACTATGCTTTTTAGTGACTTAAAACATCAATTTAAAACCTCATTTGCTCAACTGACCACACTGCCAAGGAGAAGAAATGGAATCCAGTTTATCATTTTAAGCAGCACTTAAATAATTAAGAAAATTTAATTCCTTTTCTATGCAAATGCCATTCTGAGATCTTCAAGTGTTGGACAAGGGGATTTAACTATAACAATACACAAACGTATGGGTAAGGGAGAAGTCAGTTAACCTAGAAAGCCTGAATCTTAGGGAGGGAAAAAAGCAAGAATAAACATCTGTTAGAGAAGAAAACAAGATGAACTACAATAAAGCAGGCTAAAACGACACCGAGCAGATGCCACCAGGCCGTCACTTCACAAGAATCAACTGCCAAACACACTTTGCCATTTAAGAAGCAGTAAAATAAAACACCAAGAGAAAGGCAGCTTTCCATTCGTAAATGGATACAAGTTCAAATATTTAGAGCAAACATCAGCTGTGGAAGGCATAAAGTACGTGCCATCGAGAGATCACTCCCATCTAATATTTAGAAAACAAAGCTATGACCAGTAAGTACCCAGAGATAAAAAGCATACTCCTAGGCACCAGAACTGCCAACCCTTGATTTCTGAACGGCGATTTCATTTCCTAATCTGTTGAAGGGGACTGATGAAGGAAGCCAACCAGAAAATAAATACCGTCAAATCAAAACGTGCTTAACAAGCCTGCTCATGAAACTCTGAAATGAAACCTCGCTTCAGATTGGTTCTTCCCTACATGTAGGCAGTGGCATGTACCAATGCACAACGCCAAGCTCCACCTCTGCTATGTAAACAATATCCTCAATTTTAAACACCACTTGTGTTTTTGTTAGTCTAATGTAAAGAAATTAAAGGCCCTTTCCAAAATAACTCCCATGCCTTAACAGACTCGGAATGAAACTGGAAGGTAAAGCTTTGGGCCTACTTCTAAGGGTAAAGTGTCTAATGTCAATGTTATCATCCTAATTAAAAGTTTTTTTTAAAAAAAAAAACAAGTCTCACCAATTCTTCGTAACTTCTATAATGCTCATTTCCTTGCCAATCCAACCTTTTAGGAAGCAACTAAGTGGAGGGGAAAAAAAAAAAAGTGGTTAAAGGGGAAGGAGCGATAGATCACATCCAAAACAATGTGTGTTGAGGGGAAAAAGTTGAGACATGGGAGTGGAAGAAACTTGAATGACTTGTAAAGTAAACTTTCGAGTACAGCAGGAGAGATGATTTCATCCGAGCCTACACAGACCTGGTGCTGCTCCAGCTCCTGCACCAGCACCTGCAGAGAAAAGGGAAAAAAAACAGAGTTAGGGACGAGCACGCCTTCCGCTTCTCAAGCGGCTGCTGCCGCAAACGGGCTCGGGAAGGGGAGGAGGAATGGGGGGACCGGCTGTTCACACCTCCCCTTCAATCCTCCTTGCGGCAGCCACCGGCCAGGGGGTTGGAGCCCGTGCGCCCAGGTGAGTGTGCGGCGCCCCCGTACTCACCTTCAGCGCCCTCCTGCAGGGCCCGGTGGTCAGGAACCGGGCTATGAGGAAGTAGAGCTCTGCAAGAGACATGGGGAGAGACGGGGGATGAGTCCGGGGCTGGCTCTGTCTC